GGAACTATCGGGGGGAAAGCGCCAAGCCATTACGACTATATAACACTGGGAAGGGGTCAGGATAAGGACCTGGGATGGGACGGGGGGGAAATGGAATGGTCCCCAACCACTTGGACGGTCGGGGATTGAACGGCGACCTGCATGAAGCGATACCGTCGCTCTACCGTCTGGCCCAAGTAGCAAGCAAGAGTCAAGTGACGATTCAGGAATAACTTGAGCAAGGTTAGTACTATAATATACGCAGGTGTTTTTGCCAACTATGTTATGAGCTGAATGATGCTTTGAAAGGCATGATGATAATGTTGCTCGCATCGGCGTTGCAAACGATGGCATACTAGACGCGTAAAAATTAAAAAGAGCATCACAAATTCATCGCACTGATCAAATATAGACCCCTTTCCCCCCGTCCCAGACGCACACAATCACCACCACCACAAACAATCACCACCACCACAAACACTGCAGGGAACAACTACACACACACACACATGGCAATTGGGAAAGTGATGGTGTGTAGACGCGCCACAATGCAGGCGAGCAATCATCAAGGGACAGCCCACAATGCAGGCCAGAGATCATTAACTGTCACAAGCGGGCGGAGGAGCAGAAATCTCTCCTAAGCCATATCTTAATTACTTTTCACCTAGGGGAGAGAGGCCTGGACTCTCTTAAGGACTTATAGTGGGGTTTTCTTCTTGATTGCTGGCGTTCTTGCTCGTCCTGGCCGAGTGACTCAAGATGCAGGTTTGGGGTGAGTGCAGCTGCTGCGGGTGTTGCAGTTGTTTTTGTTGCAGTTGTTTTTGTTGCAGTTGTTTTTGATGCAGTTGTTGTTAGTGTTGAAGACACCAGTAAGCACAACAAGGGGAGCAAACATAGTGACAGGTGAAAGACAGTCTAACAACCTTACCATTGTTAGGGCTGCCAGTTAGTGTACATTAGTATTGGTCTCCACACTACAGAATGGATATAAATTCACTTGAATTCCAAGAATGAAAAAATCTTCCTTATTAAGAGAGAGAGATTAAAAACTTTACATTGTCCAGAAACAAGAAGACTGAAAGGTGGCACGATTGAAGTATGTAAATATGAAAGGAACTCGAAACAATGAATATAAATTGGATAAGTTTCGATTTAGGAAAGACCTGGTAAATTCTGGGTTTGGAAATAGGGTTGTTGAGTTATGGAAACTAATTTCTGAATAGCATGATAGGCGTGGGATCAATCGATTGTTTCAAGAGTAGGTTAAACATGAATGATTTTAGGTGGATATAAACAGGACCGGAAGTTTTCTTTATTCTTATGTTCTATGTCCTATGTTCTATGTTCAGTGTCAGTGCAAAATAGGCCAAAGAAGTAGGCATATCGCCGGAAGAACAAATAAATAGAACCCCATCAGCAAGTAGTATAAGCAGGCGAACAGCAGGGCCAACCGTCAGCAAACTTAGACAAAGCTGCTTTATGTAACATACGTCCGACTGTATCCATAGTATGCAGCGCTGGCATGCAAACCCCTTACATCAGAACAAGCAGAAAATCAAGTCAAAAAGCATTCCCTACATAGGGATACGAGAGAGAGAGAGAGAGAGAGAGAGAGAGAGAGAGAGAGAGAGAGAGAGAGAGAGAGAGAGAGAGAGAGAGAGAGAGAGAGAGAGAGAGAGAGAGAGAGAGAGAGAGAGAGAGAGAGAGAGAGAGAGAGAGAGAGAGAGAGAGAGAGACAGACAGACAGAGACACAAATGAACATAGAGAAACCATAAGACACAGACAACATTATTTATAACATGTCCCTCTACCACATCAAGACAATCAACCGTGATCAAAATTTCAGAGCGAGAACACGAGCTCCGGGACGCTGCTAACCTGGTATAGATATACACAATGCATCTCTGGACTCCACCTCCACCGCCAGTTAATCATCGACTTCCTAATTAATTCCCGGACCAGTCAACAAAACTGGGAGGTGAGACGTTTCTTCCATGAATACTGCAGCAGTGCTCGCTGTGGCTAATGTCACCCCGTCTGTGTCGCCTCTTATGACACGATGTATTGAAGCAATATACTGCCTCAGCTTCTTGGGTAGGGCCTGAGCATCTTGGGTAGGACCTGAGAATGTTGGGTAGGGCCTGAGCATCTTGGGTAAGGCCTGAGCATCTTGGGTAGAGCCTCAGCATCTTGGGTAGGGCCTGAGCATCTTGGGTAAGGCCTGAGCATCTTGGGTAGAGCCTCAGCATCTTGGGTAGGGCCTGAGAATGTTGGGTAGGGCCTCAGCATTTTGGGTAGGGCCTGAGCATCTTGGGTAGGGCCTGAGCATCTTGGGTAGGGCCTGAGCATATTGGGTAGGGAAGATCTGAGCGTCTTGGCCAGAGGGGGGAAGGGGGGGATGAGCGACCTGGATATAGGGATGGTTCATCACTCATTTAAACATTTCCCGTCGACCTTTCTCATACCACTTTGAGAACTGTCAAATCCCGTCCTCTCATCTTGGACGGTGTGTGTGAGGGTGGTGTGTGTGTGTGTGTGTGTGTGTGAGGTGTGTGTGTGTGTGTGTGTGTGTGTGTGTGAGGGAGGTGTGTGTGTGTGTGTGTGTGTGTGTGTGTGTGTGTGTGTGTGTGTGTGTGTGTGTGTGTGTGTGTGTGTGTGTGTGTGTGTGTGTGTGTGTGTGTGTGTGTGTGTGTGTGTGTGTGAGTGAGGCCACCAGACAACCACTACCACCCACCCAGCATTAGTGCTGGAACAATAAGATAGAAACTGGCCTCACAAGGACAGACAAACTTGACCATAACAAACAACAACAAAGCAATAACTAATATAATAAAGCAGAATACATTTTCTTATCACGTTGACATTTGGAAAGTCTTTTATCTATATAAACATAATTATATCATCAAATATTGCTGGAAATAATTAAAGCATATTCGAAGGTCATTTATAATTATAAAAGAAATAAATGAGGTAATTCTGGGAGCGTTGCTTCCATAGGAGGAATAAACGAAGATTTAATTGATGATAAAGTAACCATATGGAGCTGAAAAGAGGAAAGTGTGCAAAGGGAATTAATTTAAGGAACGAGGAAGTCAAGAATATTTCACATATCTCACAGGAGACGTGACGGATGAGGCTGTGGTTGAGAAACTATGGTGGTCACCAACACACACAACTCATGAAGCGACGGTCTCGTTTCATGCAGGTCGGCGTTCAATCCCCATTGTCCAAGTGGTTGGGTACCATTCCTTTCCCCCGTTCCATGCTAAATCCTTATCCTGATCCCTTCCCAGTGCTATATAGTCGTGATGGCTTGACGCTTTCTCCTAATAGTTCCGTACTGATATTCTGATGACACGTCAAAAACGTTGTGGTTGGGTTGTGTTGGCGTGTGTGATGGGTTGTACTCACCTAGTTGTGCTTGCGGGGGTTGAGCTCTGGCTCTTTGGTCCCGCCTCTCAACCGTCAATCAACTGGAGAACAGGTTCCTGAGCCTACTGGGCTCTATCATATCTACATTTGAAACTGTGTATGGAGTCAGCCTCCACCACATCACTGCCTAATGCATTCCACCTGTTAACAACTCTGACACTGAAAAAGTTCTTTCTAACGTCCCTGTGGCTCATGTGGGTACTCAGTTTCGACCTGTGCCCCCTTGTTCGCTTACCACCCGTGTTAAACAGTTTATCCTTAACTACCTTATCAATTCCTCTGAGAATTTTGTAGGTAGTGATCATGTCTCCCCTTACTCTTCTGTCTTCCAGCGTCGTAAGGTGCATCTCAAGCAGCCTTTCCTCGTAACTCGTGCCTCTTAGTTCTGGAACTAGCCTAGTTGCATATCTCTGAACTTATTCCAGCTTCATCTTGTGCTTAACAAGGCTCGACAAGGACAAGGTAAAGTTTGAGTAATAAGTTGTGTGATGAGTTGTGTATTTACCTAGTTGTGCTTGCGGGGGTTGAGCTCTGGCTCTTTCGGCCTGCCTCTTAACTGTCAATCAATCAACTAATTTTTTCTTCAACTCACACTGGAAGCAGCCCGTAACAGGTCTAATTCCCAGGTACCTATTTACTGCTAGGTAACAGGGGCATCAGGGTGAAACTAACTGCCCATTTGTTTCCTCCATCACTGGGGATTGATCCCCAGTCCCCAGGTCTACGAATCCAGAGTGCTGTCCACTCAGCTACCAGGCCCCCCCTCTAATGTGTGTGATTTTTTGTTGTTAAAAGATTCGCTTCCTGGAACAAAAAGTTCCAAGTAGCACGGGCTATGGTGAGCCCGTGTGTGTGTGTGATGGGTTGCGTGATGAGTGATGGTAGAGGTGATGAGGGGAAGCCTTGGCCTGCACCACCACACTCTGGGTAATGATGCTGATGGACTCACGTAGCAGACTCTAATCATATTCCTTTACAAACAACATTACTAATTAACGACCGAAACTTTTTTGATCAATTAACATTTGCATCAACACCACCTTCCAGTCTCAGACAACACTATGGTGCTGGCAAGTCTCAGACAACACTATGGCGCCAGCAAGTCTCAGACAACACTATGGCGCCGGCAAGTCTCAGACAACACTATGGCGCCGGCAAGTCTCAGACAACACTATGGCGCTGGCAAGTCTCAGACAACACTATGGCGCCAGCAAGTCTCAGACAACACTGTGGCGCCGGCAAGTCTCAGACAACACTATGGCGCCAGCAAGTCTCAGACAACACTATGGCGCCGGCAAGTCTCAGACAACACTATGGCGCCGGCAAGTTTCAGACAACACTATGGCGCCGGCAAGTCTCAGACAACACTATGGCGCCGGCAAGTCTCAGACAACACTATGGCGCCGGCAAGTCTCAGACAACACTATGGCGCCGGCAAGTCTCAAACAACACTATGGCGCCAGCAAGTCTCAGACAACACTATGGCGCCGGCAAGTCTCAGACAACACTATGGCGCCGGCAAGTCTCAGACAACACTATGGCGCCGGCAAGTCTCAGACAACACTATGGCGCCGTGCATTACACGCCATTACAGGCGTGTTAAGGCCTGTGCTTGATGAGTAGTGGTCTGTGCTTGATGAGTAGTGGTCTGTGCTTGATGAGTTGTGTCCTGTGCTTGAGGAGTAGTGTACTGTGCTTGATGAGTAGTGACCTGTGCTTGATGAGTACTGTACTGTGCTTGATGAGTAGTGACCTGTACTTGATGAGTAGTGTCCTGTGCTTGATGAGTAGTGTCCTGTACTTGATGAGTAGTGTCCTGTGCTTGATGAGTAGTGTCCTGTACTTGATGAGTAGTGGCCTGTGCTTGATGAGTAGTGTCCTGTGCTTGATGAGTAGTGTCCTGTGCTTGATGAGTAGTGTCCTGTGCTTGATGAGTAGCGTCCTGTGCTTGATGAGTAGTGGTCTGTGCTTGATGAGTAGTGGTCTGTGCTTGATGAGTAGTGGTCTGTGCTTGATGAGTAGTGTCCTGTGCTTGATGAGTAGTGTCCTGTGCTTGAGTAGTGTCCTGTGCTTGATGAGTAGTGGCCAGTGCTTGATGAGTAGCGTCCTGTGCTTGATGAGTAGTGGTCTGTGCTTGATGAGTAGTGTCCTGTGCTTGATGAGTAGCGTCCTGTGCTTGATGAGTAGTGGTCTGTGCTTGATGAGTAGTGTCCTGTGCTTGATGAGTAGTGTCCTGTGCTTGATGAGTAGCGTCCTGTGCTTGATGAGTAGTGGTCTGTGCTTGATGAGTAGTGTCCTGTGCTTGATGAGTAGTGGTCTGTGCTTGATGAGTAGTGGCCAGTGCTTGATGAGTATTGTCCTGTGCTTGAGTAGTGTCCTGTGCTTGATGAGTAGTGGTCTGTGCTTGATGAGTAGTGGTCTGTGCTTGATGAGTAGTGTCCTGTGCTTGATGAGTAGTGGTCTGTGCTTGATGAGTAGCGTCCTGTGCTTGATGAGTAGTGGTCTGTGCTTGATGAGTAGTGGTCTGTGCTTGATGAGTAGTGGTCTGTGCTTGATGAGTAGTGTCCTGTGCTTGATGAGTAGTGGTCTGTGCTTGATGAGTAGTGGACTGTGCTTGATGCGTAGTGGTCTGTGCTTGATGAGTAGTGGTCTGTGCTTGATGCATAGTGGTCTGTGCTTGATGAGTAGTGGACTGTGCTTGATGCGTAGTGGTCTGTGCTTGATGAGTAGTGGTCTGTGCTTGATGAGTAGTGTCCTGTGCTTGATGAGTAGTGGTCTGTGCTTGATGAGTAGTGTCCTGTGCTTGATGAGTAGTGGCCTGTGCTTGATGAGTAGTGGTCTGTGCTTGATGAGTAGTGGTCTGTGCTTGATGAGTAGTGGTCTGTGCTTGATGAGTAGTGGTCTGTGCTTGATGAGTAGTGTCCTGTGCTTGATGAGTAGTGGCCTGTGCTTGATGAGTAGTATCCTGTGCTTGATGAGTAGTGTCTTGTGCTTGATGAGTAGTGGCCTGTGCTTGATGAGTACTGTCCTGTACTTGATGAGTAGTGGTCAGTGCTTGATGAGTAGTGGCCTGTGCTTGATGAATACTGTCCTGTACTTGATGAGTAGTGGTCAGTGCTTGATGAGTAGTGTCCTGTGCTTGATGAGTAGCGTCCTGTGCTTGATGAGTAGTGTCCTGTGCTTGATGAGTAGCGTCCTGTGCTTGATGAGTAGTGGTCTGTGCTTGATGAGTAGTGGTCTGTGCTTGATGAGTAGTGGTCTGTGCTTGATGAGTAGTGTCCTGTGCTTGATGAGTAGTGGTCTGTGCTTGATGAGTAGTGGCCTGTGCTTGATGAGTAGTGTCCTGTATTTGATGAGTAGTGATCTGTGCTTGATGAGTAGTGGTCTGTGCTTGATGAGTAGTGTCCTGTACTTGATGAGTAGTGGCTAGTGCTTGATGAGTAGTGTCTTGTGCTTGATGAGTACTGTCCTGTGCTTGATGAGTAGTGGCCTGTGCTTGATGAGTAGTGTCCTGTGCTTGATGAGTAGCGTCCTGTGCTTGATGAGTAGTGGTCTGTGCTTGATGAGTAGTGGTCTGTGCTTGATGAGTAGTGGTCTGTGCTTGATGAGTAGTGGTCTGTGCTTGATGAGTAGTGTCGTGTACTTGATGAGTAGTGTCCTGTGCTTGATGAGTAGTGTCCTGTGCTTGATGAGTAGTGGCCTGTGCTTGATGAGTAGTGTCCTGTGCTTGATGAGTAGTGTCTTGTGCTTGATGAGTAGTGGCCTGTGCTTGATGAGTACTGTCCTGTACTTGACGAGTAGTGGTCAGTGCTTGATGAGTAGTGGCCTGTGCTTGATGAGTACTGTCCTGTGCTTGATTAATAGTGTCTTGTGCTTGATGAGTAGTGTCCTGTACTTGATGAGTAGTGTCCTGTACTTGATGAGTAGTGTCCTGTACTTGATGAGTAGTAGCGCCCTAGTTAATGAGTAGAGTAGTACAATGGTTGATGATTAGAGCCCTGATTGGTGAGAAGAGTCGAACCCTGCTTTGTAAGTATGAGTAGTGTTGGGCTAGCACCTGTGTGGCCAACCTCTGCAGGTGTAGCCAAGCCTGCTAGACCTGCTGGGGAGCAGGTGTAGCCAAGCCTGCTTGACTTGCTGGGGAGCAGGTGTAGCCAAGCCTGCTTGACCTGCTGGGGAGCAGATGTAGCCAAGCCTGCTTGACCTGCTGGGGAGCAGGTGTAGCCAAGCCTGCTTGACCTACTGGGGACCAGGTGTAGCCAAGCCTACTTGACCTGCTGGAAAACAGGTGTAGCCAAGCCTGCAGAAATTGAAATGTTAATCTTGGGCAGCGTTTAATATCAGTATATATGTGAAGCCAATATGCTTGCAAACAAAGGTTTGTAAATAGCTATATTACCACTGTTGTAAATATAAATGTGTGTGTGTGTGTGTGTGTGTGTGTGTGTGTGTGTGTGTGTGTGTGTGTGGTGGCATTAACGTATGAGTGTATGCATCTATGTGACCATAGACGTTAGTCTACATTTGCGTTACTTTACATGTATGTGTGTGTATTTCCACATATGCTTGTACATTTATTTACTATTTATTCCTGTACAATTGACCTGTAAGCTCTTGGACCCCGCCTTTCTAACCGTCGGTTATTTAATGTACTGACTCCCTACATATATTTACTCAATCATATCTACTACATATTTATCTCTATCAAACACACACACACATATCTCCAAGATGCGGACCGTAGCAGCCGTCTAACTCCCAGGTGTATTTACTGCTAGGCGAACAGCTGCATCAGGTGAAAGAAAATCTGCCCAATTGTTTCTGCTTTAACCGGGAGTCGAACCCGGGTCCCTTATGATTACGACCCGAGTGCGAAGTCGAAGAGCTGTATGAACGAACGTTTGACTGCGTGTGTTGTTGTTGTTTAAGATTTGCTACTTGGAACAAAATGTTCCAAGTACCACGGGCTATGGCGAGCCCGAAAAACTGCGTGTGCACGCAAATATTGACGCACATGCATAGAACTTCAGTTATGGCGCAAATGCCGCTACAGCGAGAGCGTTGCAGGCGGACGGGAGCGGACGGGAGCGACGTCCTCTTCCCCCGACAGCCAGGGTCCCTCTGGCCAGGTGCGCCCAGGTCCCACCTCCGCCTCGCTGCCCTCCCATTGGCCGAGGCAGGGGCGTGCGCGCGCTGGCCCTCCTCCCTGATTGGTCGACGCCAGGTAACCAACATAATCACTACATCTCCCTTGGCCTTAAAAACATTTATTGCATTAAATATGAAAACTGGAGACAATTAGGAAGGCATTATGAGCAGCGAAGGGTTACCATTGGAACAGCCTCTACAGAGTTCCGTCTTTCCTCCCACTTGATAATTAGTACTTTGCTGATGAGTTTAATAATGGCAAGTGTACAATAGACTTGGAAACGCTCTTGGCCTTTTGTAGTTGGCTTTTATTTCTCGAGTCGTATATGCTTTTTGGTTTTGTTTGTGCTGTGATTTGAGTCAAAGGTTCAGGGAGTGTTCACACTGGTTACTGTTCCAACTGTCTGTTGTGGTTTGATGAGACTATCCTGAGAATGGCTTAAGCATCGTGGCCAAGTTGACAGAAAGAAAGGTTTCAGAACTGTTCTTACTGCAGGTTATACGACTTATTCATCACAAAACAACATTGATCACAAAATAACATTGATCACAAAACAACATTGATCACAAAACATTGTCAAACATATATATATATATATATATATATATATATATATATATATATATATATATATATATATATATATATATATATATATATATGTCGTACCTAGTAGCCAGAACGCACTTCTCAGCCTACTATGCAAGGCCCGATTTGCCTAATAAGCCAAGTTTTCCTGATTTAATATATTTTCTCTAATTTTTTTCTTATGAAATGATAAAACTACCCATTTCATTATGTATGAGGTCAATTTTTTTTTATTGGAGTTAAAACTAACGTAGATATATGACCGAACCTAACCAACCCTACCTAACCTAACCTAACCTATCTTTATAGGTTAGGTTAGGTTAGGTAGCCGAAAATGTTAGGTTAGGTTAGGTAGGTTAGGTAGTCGAAAAAACATTAATTCATGAAAACTTGGCTTAGTAGGCAAATCGGGCCTTGCATAGTAGGCTGAGAAGTGCGTTGTGGCTACTAGGTACGACATTTCATATGTATGATATATATATATATATATATATATATATATATATATATATATATATATATATATATCATGTCATATATATATATATATATATATATATATATATATATATATATATATATATATATATATATCCAAAAACAAAGTGAAACGCCATGCAACCTCTGAAGAGTCAACTAACACAACACCTATACCCCCTATTAGACTATTTTACAGGAACTTCTTTTCCACAGCCCATAAAACGGAGGAAAGGGTCCTGAAAGATATTGTCAGTAGAAACGTTATCCCTACAGACAAAAATCAGAAGATACAACTGACGATTTACTATAAAACCAGAAAAACGGCCAGCCTACTCATGAGAAACTCTCCAGACACAAAGCAGAACGCTTTAAAAGAGACCAACGTCGTCTATGCCTTCAAATGCCCTCTTGGGGACTGTAAGCCTAAAAAAAAAACAGTATATAGGCAAGACAACTACATCTCTTTCCAGGCGTTTAACGATGCATAAGCAACAGGGCTCCATTAAGGAACATATAATCTCTTCCCACAAACAAACCATCACCAGAGAAATCTTAGCAAACAACACAGAAATCATCGATAGATACAGCGATAGCAGGCGGCTTGACGTTTGCAAGGCACTACACATCAAGAAGTCAACACCAGCAATCAACAGCCAATTAATGCACAACTATATTCTACCCACTTCAAGACTCCGCTCCAATATAGAAGCATCAAGAAATATGAACCAATAGGCTTTCTACAATTACTTCCATTCAATACCCATTGTTTCGTGTTCTGTCTTGTGTTTGAATTTAATACCCATTCAATACCCATTGTTTCGTGTTCTGTCTTGTGTTGGAATTTAATACCCATTGAATACCCATTGTTGAAAGTTCGTTTTTCACCTCATCCACCTTACCCAAATGTAGATATAAACCTCGAAGATGTGTAAAGCTCTATTCAGTTTCAGTTGTGTGTTTGTAAACTAAAGTCTTTGAAAATGTAATAAGTTTTACGAAACGCGCTCAAGTGTCGCGTCAGACTAGAAATAAAAATGAATTTTGGAGAATTGATCTTTGAATTACCATCAACAGTGAAAAAAACATAAGAAAGATAGAGAAAATTCGTGTTAGAATTATTAATCTTACTTTTTCGGTCATATTTAATAATATATGTCTACAGGAAAGACTCCTACCAAAATATACTAATATCCAAAAACATTGTATGTCTTCTCTCCCGACCCAAAAAAACATTAATTACTCAATAAGGGAAATTTAAGACAATTATAATTGGGTTATTTAAACATTTTAATACTGTGTTCGATGACAAAATGGAATAAAATATATAAATAATAATAAAAAAAACATATTTACAGATACTATCCATTAGCGTTTATAATTGTTATAATGTGAAAAGAAAATGGCATACACACAAAAAATAAATTATTATTAATTTCTTGTTTACGATTTAAATGAGCCCATCTTCCAGGATGATAGTACACTATGTGTACTGTTGTGATAGTACACTATGTGTACTGTTACAGACTGTACAGAATATGTACTGATGCACACAGTACACTAAATGTATTGTCAAATACAGTAAAGTATATGTAGTGATGTGCATAGTTCAATATATGTAGTGATGTACATAGTTCAATATATGTAGTGATGTACATAGTGCTATATAGGTAGTATTATGTAGTACAATATGTGTAGTATTGTACATAGTACAATATATGTAGTGATGTACATAGTACAATATAGGTAGTATTATATAGTACAATATATGTAGTATTATATAGTACAATATATGTAGTATTATATAGTACAATATATGTAGTATTGTACATAGTACAATATATGTAGAGATGTACATAGTACAATATATGTAGTGATGAACACAGCACAATATATATGTAGTGATGTACATAGCACAATATATATGAAGTGATGTACATAGCACAATATATATGAAGTGATGTACATAGCACAATATATATGCTAAAGCACACATTACAATATATATATATATATGTTTCATTGAATATGACCGCATATTCTGTATTTATTATTTTCTGGTTTAGGGCTTCTATCCCTCTAACTATTTTCTTAGCATCAGGGCTTAATTGGAATAGGAGTTCTATTCCAATTTAGAACTCCTATTCCAATTAAGCCCTGATGCTAAGAAAATAGTTAGAGGGATAGAAGCCCTAAACCAGAAAATAATAAATACAGAATATGCGGTCATATTCAATGAAACATGTTTGAAAGAAAACCTGCTGCCAGTATACACCAATATATATATATATATATATATATATATATATATATATATATATATATATATATATATATATATATATATATATATATATATATATATTAGGGTGAGAGACTCGTGTCTAATAAGTGACCAGTTCGCTGCACCTGATCACCACTTCACGTTAAAAATTATAGTCGTCGTCAACAATAATATTAAACACAGGTCGCATGACATGGCATGCAACATCACAGAGGCCGAAGAGGCTCAGTAACATTCACAAAAACACACAAATACTGAGAAACAAACACATGACAAACACAGACACACACACACACACACACACACACACACACACACACACACACACACACACACACACACACACACACACACACACACACACACACACACACACACACATACTTACGCTCAATAGACGGCCACACATTACAAATTTGTGAAACATATACGAATTATTTAATTTCTTTCACATACATAATCTTTCACAATAATATTACCTCCCCCTCCCCCACACCTCCCTGTAAACTGGCCGATACAAAATCCTGTACTATTTTAATGACAATATACTTAATATATTACTTGTGAAAATCATTATATACCCTTCACCGCCTTGTGTGGTTTTGTGGTTGCCCACAACATGGGGCCACGATGGGTTGTTGTTGTTAATAGGTTACATTTGTGTCCGGGGTTCGAGCCTCACTCCTCCTCCTCACTTCCTACATCTCTCATTCCCTCTTCTACGCGTCTTCCTCCAATTCCTACCAAATTTTGATCGTCTTACTCATTTTTCTTCTCTCCTCCTCCTCCCTACTCCTGCATTTCTACCTTTTTCTCTTACTCATTTATATATTCTCTTACCTATTTTAATTTTAATGGAATTGATACAAAAGCAAACGAAGTCTTACCTAATCTAGGAAACATAACGTAGGCTACCCACACCTTACCTATACCTTACCTACACCTTACCTAACCCCATGCTTCCTCCCTTCCTCCTTATCTCTCTCCCTCTCATATTTCCTCTCTCCCTCCCTTCCTCTCTCCCTCTATACCTCTCACCTTCATTCGAACCCTCCCTCACTCCCTCCCTAATTATCTCGCTGCTTTCCTCCTCCTTTCTCTGACTTTCCCCATCTTTCCCTCTCCTTTCTCTCTTCCCTTCCGTTCCTTCCTCTCTTCCTTTTTCTCCCAAAATGCCTATTGTCTCCCATGCCTCACTCCTCAGTTCCCTCCGTCTCTTTCCCTATTCCCGCTCGTCCTCATTCCTTCCCTCCCACCTGTCCCTATTTTCCTCCCTACACTTTCGTCTCTCTCCTTCACCGCCCTTCCCTCTCCCATCTCGTTACCCTTCGTTCGTTCCCTTCCCTTCCCTGTCTCCAATTATTCCTTCCCTCTCCCATCCTGTTGCTCTTCTCTTGCTCCCTCCCTACCCTTCCAACACCCCCCTAGCCTTTCCTTCCCTCCCCCTTACCCTTCCCTGCATCCCAACCCTCTCTCCTACCCCCTCTCCCCTCCCCCCTCCCCCCCCCCCCCCGACAAAGGAGATACATACCGACAAGTTATTTAAGATGACATTCAAGTGAGGCAGCAAGACGCAGGCTGGGACCAAGAAGAGCCCAATCGTTACATATTTACCAATAATCTGTATGACAATAACAGCAGCATGAGGGAGTGTTCCTTCAGTGAGGCGAGGCCGGTGGCTGGCCCCGAGAGGGGGTACACACGGGGAATATATTAATAATAATAATAATAATAATAATAATAATAATAATAAATAATAATAATTGCTGCTTCGTGATGGCAAAATGTTATTAGTCTGTCTTAGTGATGGTATTTTTGCGCTCTCGAGGCTTGCACACTCAGATCCAGCAAGTCCTCCTCTGGTTTCTCCAACGTCAAGAAAACGGTTAATTTAAAGTGGTCTCCCCTTAGCCTACCTAGAGGAATCAAAACAGAAAACGGGACAGTATGTGGCTTTCGCGAACCGCTTTCATTTTCTAGTACGACACTTTGGGGCCTTATGTAACGCATACGAGCGACATTCTCTGTTGGAGGACAGGTTGTTATGCCTCCTCCCAGCAACCCATTTTCCGAATTGGCAGTACGGTTTAATACTAAGTGTAATAAGTACATTTCCTTACTGTCATACATAGTACATAATTGCACTTATGGGGCTGTTATATTAACCTCCAAATTTATTCTCCTCGTTTTCTGTTAAGCAGCCAGTCCTCTAAAAATGGGGAGGTAAATATAACAGCCCCATAAGTGCAGTTATGTACTATGTAAGTCAGGAACTGTACTTTTTTCACTAAGTATTAAACCGTACTGTCAAATATATTGTGAATATTTGAGTTTACCAGAAAAGCTGAATAGAAAACCACGACCTAACCTAACATCTTAGTGTTTGAAGATAAGCATTTTATTGCTTCTTAATTATAACTAGTACTTAATCTATAGCTATATTGATATTACAGTTTTATAAAACTAATAAAATAATACTAAAATATATCAATAAATTGTAAAGTAACTCAGGATATTTTAAAATTTTGTATAAAATCTCTATTGTTTAATAAAACTGAAAAAGAAATTCCTGATATTTAAAACTTGTGTATAGCAAATTTAACTTTGAAACTAAAACTTTGAAAATTCATCCTAAAATTCTGAGTGTCTTAACAGAAAACGAGAAGAATAAATGGGGAGGTAAATATTTGTATGTAACAGCCCCATAAGTGCAATTATGTACTATTCATAGCAGTCAGGAAATGTACTTATTACACTTAATATTTAAACGTACTGTCAATTCCGAGAATGGGTTGCTGTTAAGACACTCAGAACTTTAGGATGAAGTTTTCAAGTTCAATTTGCTATCCTCAAGTTTTAAAAATCTGGAATTTATTTTTCAGTTTTATTAAACAATTGAGATTTTAAACAAATTTTGAAAATATCCTGAGTTACTTTACAATTTATTGATATATTTTAGTTTTATTTTATTAGTTTTATAAAACTGTAATATCAATATAGCTATAGGTTAAGTACTAGTTGTAATTAAGAAGCAATAAAATGCTTATCTTCAAACACTAAGAAGGTTAGGTTAGGTTGTGGTTTTCTATTCAGCTTTTCAGGTAAACTCAAATATTCACAATATATTTGACAATACGGTTTAATACTTAGTGAAAATAAGTACATTTCCTGACTGCTATAAATAGTACATAATTACACTTATGCTGTTACATTTACCTCCCCATTTTTGGAGGACGGGCTGCACCCAGACCACTATATGCCTCCACTCAGACCATTATATGCCTCCACTCAGACCATTATATGCCTCCACCAAGAACAAACTGAGCTTCCAGACCCAGACCATGCTATGCCTCTACAATATCTGGCATTACGCTATCAGTATGCCAGCTGGCTATAAATACTAGATGAACGCAGTATCATGGAAAGCAGAATTTTTTCAGACGTCCCATATCATAGAGTCAACCTTAACACACTGAGAAGACTGCCTTCACACAATAAGGAGACTGCCTTCACACACTAAGGAGACTGCTTTCACACCCTGAGGAGACTGCCTTCACACACTGAGAAGACTGCCTTCACACACTAAGGAGACTGCTTTCACACCCTGAGGAGACTGCCTTCACACACTGAGGAGACTGCTTTCACAAACTGAGAAGACTGCTTTCACACCCTGAGCAAACTGCCTTCAAATTGGAACGACATTCGACACAACCTCCTCCCGAGACTCTTGAGCAGAGACTGGACTCTCCTGTCCATGAGAACCAATCCCAGCTCCCTGGACGATGAGCTGGCTCTCCTCTGATTGGTCCAGGCAACTTACCTCTGATATCGCGGCCTATTACAATCGATCAAATTATCCAGTGCACTGGATTTCCCAAAACAGTCATGTGACTTCACACTTGAAGTTTCTAGAAAGTTCGTGGACCCGTCATTCGGTAAGCACGGAGACGAAACAATGGAACATAAATTGACATCAAATGCCCTTAAGCATGAGTAAATTGACATCAAAATTACCTTAAACATGAGTAAATTGACATCAAATACCCTTAAACATGAGCTATGTGGAAATGTTCAGAGCTATGTGGAAATGTTCACAGTTATGTGGAAATGTTCCCAGCTATGTGGAAATGTTCACAGTTATGTGGAAATGTTCCCAGCTATGTGGAAATGTTCACAGTTATGTGGAAATGTTCCCAGCTATGTGGAAATGTTCACAGCTATGTGGAAATGTTCACAGTTATGTGGAAATGTTCACAGCTATGTGGAAATGTTCACAGTTATGTGGAAATGTTCCCAGCTATGTGGAAATGTTCACAGTTATGTGGAAATGTTCACAGCTATGTCGAAATGTTCACAGCTATGTCGAATTGTTCACAGCTATGTCGAAATGTTCACAGCTATGTGGAAATGTTCACAGCTATGTCGAAATGTTCACAGCTATGTGGAAATGTTCACAGCTATGTGGAAATGTTCAAAGCTATGTGGAAATGTTCACAGCTATGTGGAAAGGTTCAAAACTATGTGGGAATGTTCAAAGCTATGTGGGAATGTTCAAAGCTATGTGGAAATGTTCACAGTTATGTGGAAATGTTCATAGGTATGTGGAAATGTTCACAGCTATGTGGAAATGTTCACAGCTATGTGGAAATGTTCACAGCTATGTGGAAAGCTATTTGGAAATGTTCACAGCTATGTGGAAATGTTCACAGCTATGTCGAAATGGCTATGTCGAATGTTCACAGCTATGTCGAAATGTTCACAGCTATGTGGAAATGTTCACAGCTATGTCGAAATGTTCACAGCTATGTGGAAATGTTCACAGCTATGTGGAAATGTTCACAGCTATGTGGAAATGTGGATATGTATTAAGCCTTATGCACTAGGTATTACTATGTGTGCTATGTATTATAGATTACATGATATGTTTTATTGAGTATATGTTATATATTTTCAACTATGAATTAGAGTATGTATCATAGACAAATAAAGATTATGTATTCTACATTATGCATTATAAACTATGTATTATAGATCATGTATTACGATCACATAGACTATCGACTAGGGCATTCACTCGTGTCAAATCACCAGGCAATCAGTGATAAGGTTTTTATCATATTAATTATTTTTTTTGCAAACATATCAATCTGATAAATAGCAAATTATAAACTGATATAAATGAGACACCGACGCCTGTCACGCGATAGTCTGAGAATTACGAGAACGCTTTTTCATAGATTTTTCGCGCTACTTTAATTAGCACATTATCGCAACACGCATTACAAAAACCTGCGAGCGTTGTAGGTTAGTTGTAACCCGAGGAGGTGGCGGTGTCGCATTTTCTGATATCCTCTCGTGATGTTATGATATCTGTGTTGTGTGATGTAGATTATACTGTAACATTGGGAGTGTGTGTGTGTGTGTGTGTGTGTGTGTGTGTGTGTGTGTGTGTGTGTGTGTGTGTGTGTGTGTGTGTGTGTGTGTGTGTGTGTGTGTACTCATCTAGTTGTGCATGCGGGGGGGGGGGGGGGCGGTTGTGCTTTGGCTCTCTGGTCCCGCCTCTCAACTGTCAATCAACTGGTGTGCAGATTCCTGAGCCTACTGGGCTCTATCATATCTACGTGTGTGTGTGTGTGTGTGTGTGTGTGTGTGTGTGTGTGTGTGTGTGTGTGTGTGTGTGTGTGTGTGTGTGCGTGCGTGTGTGTGTGCGTGTGTGTGTGCATGTGTGTGTGCATGTGTGTGTGCATGTGTGTGTGCGTGTGTGCGTGCATGTGTGCGTGCGTGTGTGTGCGTGTGTGTGTATGTATATTTATTATCTGTATCTGCAGAATTTGCAACAGCCTTGTTTCCAAACCAGTATTTACCCAGGTCTTTCTTAAATATAAACCTATCCAATTTATATCCTTTCTTTCGTATTCTACTTTGTCTTGATATATTTACTACTTTATAATCGCCTCCTTGTTATGCCCACTCATCCACTTGCACGCGTCGGACACATCACCCCGAACTTGTCGCCTTTCTAGACACCCCGAACTTGTCGCCTTTCTAGACACCCCGAACTTGTCGCCTTTCTAGACACCCCGAACTTGTCGCCTTTCTAGACACCCCGAACT